ATATAGTCGGTTCGTGTGAAAATTTCAAAAGTACTGTATTAACTGACCACTGTGCAAATCATGGGAAGTTAAAATTATATCCACTTTCACCAAACTGTTTTTCCCCTTCATTCCACCACCAAGTGTTCTTTTTTGGAGTTTGGCAAATGTTCATCTCTTTGTAAACCCTGACCCCTACGCCTCAAGGTTCAGCATTTCGTGACGAGGATAGATGGAGGCAGGGTCAGTCCAGTCCACACAGTGATTGCAGATAATTCAGTAGAAGCCACTTAGTAAGGCGGATCCATGAGGTGTTTTGTTTTGTTTTCTTATTCCTGTTTTTCCTTAGGAAAAATCCTCACAGTAAAGGTCTGTTTGTGAAGCATGCTATCTCTTGTGGATTTTTTTTTTTCACAGAGAGATTCAAATTCATTATCTTATTAAAAAGGAAAGAGAAATGTTGACACTCATGTCTTTGTGGTCTGGTGGAAAGTGGACGGTGGTCCATTGACTGAACTGACTTGTTCCTTGGAATGCCTTCACTGAGATTAATCTCCCCTTTTGCTACTGAATTCTTAGGATTTCCATTTGCTGAACTTGGATTAATGAATAAAAGAAACCAACTTCCCTGTAGGTAATTATGTTAGCGGAAATTGTATTGGTGTCCCTGTCATTTTATAAGAGAAGGCTCGGCTTCTTCATGATCCTGCTTTTCTCTCCTTCTCTCTGTAAATGCACAATTTACAGAGATCTGCAGCCAAAAATGTATTGTTCTGATTAGATCGCTTTTGTCAAACATAAAAATTTTATTGATGTTATTTTTCATAGCAAAGTCAGTAGAAAATACTTTTGAGGTCCTTGATATGTATACTTTGGGTTATGTTTTATAATTATAGTACCTCCCAGGACCAGTGATAGTAATTTGTGTAAATAAGGTGATAAGGTCGGAAGTACTTGAAGCAAATAGATTGGCTGAAAGCTAGAAATTCCCACCAGGGAAAATCTGTGTGTAGCAGATTGAGGGGCGAGGGCCAAGGAAGCGAGGACTCCCTCTTTCTGGGGTCACTCTGTTAACTGCAGGGGCGGATGTCACAGGATCTTTAAAGCAGCTGTGATGTTGCTGGGACTGATGCGGGCTTCCCGCCCTTTCAAGGGAACGCCTTGATCATGCATTCAACTAAATCGAGGCAGTTGGAAAGCGGTTCTTGTGTTCTAATTGCCCAGTGGGCTGAGGTCTGGGGACAATAAGTGTATATCAGGGGAGGGTCAGGCTTGAAAGCTGGCAACCCAGTGAACAGACCGAACTGGAGAGGATGAAGGAGAGCTGCTGCTTCTTCTTCTTCTTCTTCTTTTTTTTAATTATTTAAGATAGAGGTTTTCTTTCTTAAACATTTTGAAATCTGGTTGATGAATACTTGCCAAATTGATTTGTGGTATTTGTCTTCTCTTTTTTCTTATTCCATGAGATCACGAGGGAAAATCCCAGCTCAAAAAGAGGCTGAGACGAAGTATGCTCCCACATAAAGAATAACAGTGCCGAGCTGCATGGGGGAGGTGGGGGGAGCCGACAGGGTCAGACCCTACTGAGTCACTGGTGGTATCACCTTCAACCTCTGCTCTGCTGGAGTGCGGTTTTAAATATTTGCTATGTTTTTTAAATACTACAAGTCCTTCTGCTACTCTCTTGCCTTCAGCACGCCTATGTATATACTAAGCTTGGATTTTAAGATCAAGACCTTTATAATAAAAGCAAATAATGGCACAGGATCCTTCAACACCACTCCTCCTAGGACGGAGTTTGAAAGAGAAAAACAACCTTGATTGTGCACAATTGCAAATCACTTCCCACTGACAATCTTGTAACCAGGGAAAGCCCTGAGAATTTAGTTCCTTTGTCATTTAGGGTTTGATGATTGGCTGACGTTCATCCCTACATCAGGGTTTCCCCCTTTGCAAGCTCTTTTTTTTTTTTTTTTAATTGCAGTCATTTTCGGATCTGATTGCACCAGCCTTTGCAACACCTAAGTCCCTTACTCCAGAAGTGTAGGCCCCTTCCAGGGCTTCTTGTGGTGTTAGAGAGAGTGATTGGCAAGCCTGAGATAGAGGGGGGCTGGGGGTGGGGGTTGCAGTGCCGGATACAGGTGGCAAGAGCTGCCCCAGAGACAGAACACAACACCACTGGGCCCATTATTTTGGTTGGAAATACGTAAGAAAACCTTTCCTCAAAGTGGAAACAATAAACAAATTATCCACTTCCACAATCAGCTAATTGAGGCTGTCTCTCAATAAACAAGTGGATTTCCTGCTAACAAGCACTTTTACAAATTTAATCTCCAGTGCTCTTCTGCCCTTCCCCCATGTTATTTATGCTCACTAAAATTTTTCTTAATAACGTTACATATTAGTAATACTTAATGTTCCTATTTTTGCCTCCTCTTGGCATAAAAGTCTGTGGCTGTCTTTCGATGTGCCATTGTGTGGCACATTTTTTTAATTGGAATTAAAATTAAATCGATCCAACTCTTTTTATTTTCCTGGCTCTAATAAATCAAGGTAGAGAAGTGGCAGCCACAGAAGTCCATATGCATACAAGACCATCGTCATCTTCGGGGCATGGGAATAGCTTCCTTTTTTATACTATATTTATTTCAAAATCACATCCAATAGATCACTTTTGTCCACAAATATTAAATAAGGTTTTAGAGAAACATATTTGTTAAATATTTGAATCACATACTATTTATTTGTGGGTTGTTTTTAGTCAGTGTATGAAGGATGCTCAGTACCTGAAGTCACTATTTGAAAATTATCTTAATAAAGTGAGAGGAAGAGAATAGTGTAAGTATGAAGAATAGAGTATAAGAACTTCAACACCTGTTTTCTGTTTAACAATATAAGGGGATTTAAATGAATTGACACATGGGGATTTAACACTTAAATTGCTAATATAATTTTACTTTAAAATTCTCAATCATCCCATAAAATTGATTGTTTTAAATTCTTTTTCTTATATCTCTTGTATTATTCACTCTCTATTACCTCCTCATACAAGGGAAAGTAGTAGCTTTATTGGGCTTTTTAAAATCCAGAACGTTCATTTATTATAAATTGATTCTTGAATGTCTAAATAAAATATCCCATTTCTTGCCTGAGGAATATTTTCCCCAAGTGAAAATATATTTTACTTTATGTGATTGTGCTGATAAAATTGCTTAGTACACTTTTTGAATCAAAAATTCATGTAGACAATTTAAATGTGCAAGTTTATGATCGAGTCTCTGGGGCCCCTGCACTGGCATATGGAAGCATATTTAAGTTTGTTTTTAATTTCCTTTATGGCTGGTATGGTTTCTTTTGGTTCAGACACATGCATGCGTGCGCGTGCGCACACACACCCCCCCACTAGCAGAAAGGGCCAGCAGGGCTTTTCCAAGTTATTAGGGCAATACTCTGGTTTCCAAGTTATTAGGGCAATTTTCTGAATGAGCTGCGAAACTGAAATTAATATCTTTCTTTAGAGTCATCAAGGACCAAAGCCCATCATCTGCCAGCCCTGTTTGATGCTTAGCTCTCCATGAAGTTAATATGGATTTTGTATATACCAGGATGCATGACTCGGGGAAGCAAGCAATTCTTTTTGACCATGTGCTGTTAAATTCCATAATGGTGCATGCTCTGATCTATTAGTCCTCATCAGCTAATGTGATGCAGCCAAATTGATATTTTTAATAATGATGTCAATAGTAACTTTACCATTATGGATCCTTGGAACTCCAAGTGTCAAATTAAGCATTTGTATTGTTTTTTAAATACAATGAATTTTAAATTAATTTTGAAGTGAATTTGCATTATAAATAAAATAAGATGCTTTCAATTAACTAGTGCCATTCTTTTCTGTGATAATTCAAAAGGTAGCTGACGATTATCAAGGTCATTCTTTTTTTCTCAATAGAATTGTATGCAGAATTTTAGTATATAAAACTAGTCAAAACAATTGTATTTTTTGGCATAAATTTAGTTTTAAGGTCAAAAGTGTTACATTTATTTGTTCTTAAAATCAACCACTGAGAATATTGAGTCATGTCTGTAGAATCTTAGGATTCTGAGGAACGTTGTCTGAAAAACATCCACCTACTGAATGGTATCCAAACTTGTTGATTTGATAATTTTTTTACTTTAACCATAACCCCTTTCTACATGATGTTGTCCATTTTGCACCAGCCAGATGGGTTGACTCACTGTGTCCTGAGCAGCAGAGTTTCATAACTGTACATCCCTGATCTGGACTCCTAGTCCTCTCCTCTTTCTTTACACATTGTTCTTTTTTTTTTTAAGATTTTATTTATTTGACAGAGAGAGACACAGCGAGAGAGGGAACACAAGCAGGGGGAGTGGGAGAGAGAGAAGCAGGCTTCCTGCTGAGCAGGGAGCCCGATATGGGGCTTGATCCCAGGACCCTGAGATCATGACCTGAGCCGAAGGGCAGACGCTTAACAACTGAGCCACCCAGGCATCCCTACACATTGTTCTTGACCTTCAGGACACAGCTCAGTCACTTCTTTCTTATAATTAATACCATTTCAGAACATTAATATTCTTGGCTCTATAAAGCTGTTTAACTGCTTATATGAGTATGTCTTGTCTTCCAGTCACGATTGCAGATTTTCTTTGGGTAAAAAATAAGAAAAAACCCCAGCACTCTCCCTACACATAACCTAGCATAGTGCTGGGCATGTAGTTGCTATTCCGCTAATGAAGGAGGAATTTATGACAGTCCTATCTTACAAAAAAAATCCATGTGAGCTGCCCTACTTGAATAGATAACACTTCAGTTTATTTCAGTTCTGGCATATGTAAGCTGGCCTTCATTTTCCTAGAGACCTCGATTATGCTTGGTAGCAGACCTGATAAAGAGATTTGATGGTCCACCCACCCAACCAACGTCACTTATGACATTGCTTCCGGAATCAGCCACATGTAATGTGCAGAGGGGAGGAAGTGCTTCCTGTCCTGCCCTGAGAGGGTCAGCAGAACCTATGGTGCTCCCTTCACGATGGGGGCTTGTGGCCTTGGGGCTCTGGCTGTGGAAGAACTCAGTGCAGGGATGAGAGCTGAGAGCTAGGATTCTCTGGGCCACACTTCGTCTCAGGTGAGAAAAGACCTTGCTATATCCAGAGCCTAGGCGCTCTCAAGTGGAAAATGAAGGGCAGTGACTGAGCGGTCCCTTCAGTGGCAGGGCGTGTGAGTGGGTTTTCCAGAACCTGGGAATGACCTTGCCCTTAGAGAGGTAGTTAAATATATGCCTTCCTGCCAGGAGAGTGAGAATAATGGTTTGGAAGTTGGGGAGTTTGATAAACACTTCTCTTAGCTTTGCCATTGTGGGGGTGTGTGTGTGGTATACATAAAAGTAAGCTGCTTCTCTGCTAAGTTTGCCCAAGAGGAAAATGATAACATTCTTCATCTTAACAAGTTTCCTGTAAAGCTGCATATATGAAAAATGGGCCCATTCAACCCCTGGGGGAGGAAAGAAGTTACTAATTTTTCATCAAGCTTTGTGGATCAGTATTGAACGTTTTCTCAAACATCAAATGTTTCCTTACCCACCTCCAGCATCTGTCCCCTGCCTTCAACCCCTACCTCCAGCTGCCAAATAGAACTGGATTTATTACAACCTGAGCAGCATGAATTCTAACATTGTGGAGATGGGCACGGCTATTGGCCTTGAAAAACTGTAAGCCGAGGTTTGCCAGCACTCTAGATGGTGATAAAGGACGTGGGGCTTATTTCATCGTCAACTAAGGAAGCACATTGAGGGACCCTGGGGTATTCAGAAAGGGAAAAGACAAGCCACACCCTCACAGAGATGAAAATCTCTTTGTGAAAATAAGGCATCCACATGTGCAAGATTAATGCGGGCAGAAGGGCGAGATCATTCCTTCCTAATTAGTCATGTGGTAAACAGCAACGTGCTCGAATTCCAAACAGGCCATATCTCCTGTGTCTGAAGTGATCTGGAAGATTTTTATGATTCCCAGTGGGAATCGGTTATAAAGTAGTAGCAGAGCTGGTAATGATGAATATTTACTGTTTCTTATTTGTTTTCTCCTTGTTCATGTGTAATAATGAATACATTACTCATTACTTCTAATCAGTGGATATTGTTATGTAAATTTCACAGCAATTATCTATACCTTTTTAGCAGGGTATTTTAATTCCCATTTATGTAATTTTGCTTGAATATGCATTTATTTATTTATTTATCACCAAGCAAATAGGCATTTCCGGAAGCTCAGAGATATGTAACGTAGTATGAAGGCACTTGTGTGGTGAGTGGTGGTGACATGCAGCATGGGTGACCCAAGGCCTTGCTGCTCAGACGTGGGCCATGCACCTGCAGCGCTGGCATCACCTGGGAGCTGTGTGAAGTGCAGGGTTTCAGGCCCCACGTCAGACCCGCTGAACCAGAAATCTGCATTTTCACAAGGTCCCCCCATAATACACATGCACATTCAACGGTGAGAGTCACTTTTCTCAGTTATTCTCATTAAGCACTCCGTGTTCCATTCTGATCTGATTCTGTGGGAGCTCGTTACAAAATTGTGAAGGTGGGTGTTTAATCACTCTATTTGTAGTTTTCTCTGAGCATGACACATTATTTAATAGAACAAAGTTTTGTAGTATTATGGATGAATGATCCTGGCCATCGCTAAAAGTTAAGTGAATACCTAAATTATTTTCCCAGCACTTGGAGTCTTTCAAAACTCAAACCATGTTTTGAAAAGCACCATTTTCCCTTTTATATCTAAGTCCATATGAATTCAATTTTGTGGGAAATTTAAGCCACATGTTTCTGATTCATTTACACTTAACCCTGAGAAGGTTGTGTTACAACAGCAATTGCCTGTCCAAAAAAATCTCAGTCTTTTAGTAAATCCTTCATAAGGATCGAGAACTGGGGAAAAGAGAAATGGGGAGAAGCCACTGGAGAGAGCCCAGAACAGCTGGGGCTGGGGTTCAGCACCCTGAAGCTGGAGGCAGGTCTGAGCAGAGTCCGTGTGCAGACAGCTTCTGTTTATCACACATCTTTGGCAGGGACAGGGAGGGATGACACAGTCCCATGTGCTGGAAAGAAACAGGGGCATGTGTACATCATGCAGCATAGACAGAACCCTTATTTTTTCCTACCCGTACATTAACATCTCTCCCTTTCCTCCCAACTGTATCCATATCACTGTGTGAGATGGCTGTGTTGTGACCCCTGTGAACCAACCTCTTGCATGGGGGGACAAAGTTCTGTCCCCGTAGTTGCTGGGAAAGCCTCCGTGGGTGACAGGATGAAAGAAGCAACTTTGATGATCTTCACTTTGAGTATTGATTATAGTTTGAGCTGATGTATAACCAGAGAATCTTAAAAATTCATTAAGCTTCTTTTCGCCTCTTAGTAAAGCTTGTCTTCTTGCTCATGGAATCATGAGCTGTGACAGCTTTTTTTTGATTGATGGATAGTATGTATAAATGCATGTGTACACATGAGAATATATGTCATGAATAAAGAGTGAGTGTTTATGGTGGGAGAAAACAATAATCAAATGAATCATGTTTTCTATTTAGACCTCTGTCCCTACGTTTAGTGAGTTTGTTTAGATAAGAGGACTTGGGTTGATTACAGTTCTTAGTAGCCATTGATAAATGAAAGGGCATTTGAATTCCATGTCTAACACATTATTCCAGGGAACCAGTAAATACATATTCATATGACAGATGCTCTAATCAAGACTGAAGGTCTTACTTAAATATTTTAAAAAGCAACCTTGGCACTTGAAGGCAAAGCAAATGCGAGCCAAGATTGTGATTTTGCCAGTTTTCCCCTTGCTGTAGGCATTCGCATGATTGTCTTTTGTTGTGGCATGTAATGCCTTCAAACATGCCATGCCCTTTTTCTCGAGAAAGAGCTTTTCTCCTCTGTCATCAGCTGCCTGACTCTTTCCTTCCAGGATCCCCCGATGTCAAGTCTGTGAGCCTTCCCTTGCCCTCTGTCTCGGGGCAGCACCCACCATCTGTGCTTCCCACATATCCATGTAGCATTCTAACATTGGTGATTCTGGTGTATAATTAACCGTTTCTATGCCTGTCTTCCCCAGGGCAGGGACTCTGCCTTCTATACCTCTATGCCCACCACCAAATGCAAGGTAATTACTCAGTCAAATTGTTGAATGAATAAAGCTGTGACTTAAGCAGTATCTCAGACTAGCTCTTCAAAGCTAACCACCTTCTAGGGATGCCCAACTTAAAATCTGAGCTCGTGGATTGAATTTGTTAAGCGTTCTACAGATGAACCCAGTGTTGTCGGTTCATGTCACATGGAAGCCAACCTCGCTTCTCTGAGTAGAGTCTGGGCTCCTCTCTGCTGGCCACCTTGTGGATACCCATGGTGGGTTGAGGAGGCTGTGTCAAGGAATATGGTGGCTCACTCTGGCCATCATGACTAGAAAAAGAGTCCCAAGCAGATGTACCCAGAGGGCCTTTGTTCAATTGTTGGAAGGTAAATGCTGTGTGGTTTCCATTAGGCCAGCACGCCCCATACCTCATTTGCTCCATTCTTTAGGTTGTTGAAAACATGTCCCAGTTTTAAAGACTTTCACAGATGACATTTTCACAGTTTCCTTCTGTAACCTATTCCATTATTTGTTTAATAAGTCTCTCTGTCAGAAATGTATTCTTTTGCTCTCATCTAAATCCCAAAATGCCCATTTTCCTCCATTTGGTCCCCAGTAGAGGGGGGGACAGCTGGCCACCTCAAAGTGTTCTCTCTCCGTCCCTTGGATCATGTGTCATCTCCTTAGGGTTTCCAAAAGTCTCTCATTATATTTGTGAGTAAAAATAAAACTTGAACTTTCAACTCCCGAGTTTATCACCAGAATATCCAGCTTCCTTGGTCGCCTCCCGCTCTCCTATGGGTCTTCTCCCTTGCTGTTTTCTGTGTCCTTTTGTTACCATCATGGGAAACCGAACTTATTCCTGCACTCTGTCCTGCATTTGGTCTTCCTCTGCAATTGTAAGCTTCTTGAAAGCAGAGATTGCATGACTCTTCTTTGCGTTGTCTGAAATGCCTAGTACCTAGAAATTGAATTTTTAGCAGCTGCTCTTTACTTTGATGTACCTTAGCCCGGTTTGTCTGAATTGATCAAAAAATGTAGCTGGTAAACATTCCAACTCATAGGGAAAAGTCTGTATATAGCAGAGGCATTTTAGAAAGTGAAGCTCAGCACCGACATTTAATGTGAAAAGCACAATGTGGAACAGAGAAGAGTCTGCAGTGTATATAATTTCAGAGTTCTTTAGTCGTCAACAAGGCAGCTGACGTTTCTAGGTAGCATTAAAGCGTGTTTCGTTACGTGCATTTCCATGGTGCAATCCAATATAGAAACTGAATTTGTCAGTATTACAGATAATTAGGATAACAGTAATACCAGTAATTACTGTGAAGGGATTTCTCTATGGCATAATGAAGGCCCTCAAACTATTTAGGAATTCTTGGATGAAAGAAGATACAGAAGCAAGAGTTCTGGTGTTGAAAAGACAAAAGCAAACTGTGTTTGAAATATGTTACCAAACGTCATGTTTTTATGAGCACAGTGTGGCAAAACATCAGGACACAGCTGTTGATTTTGGATGCTCTTTTCAGAGCCAGTGACCCCTGTGCAGGGAAGAGCCTGTCCGGATAATCAGAGTGAAGCGCATCACCCTTGCGATGACTTACCAAATTGTATGCCTGTCCTGGAGATTTCCCCTGATGTCCTAGGAAGTGTTTGGCTAAGTGGAACCACAGAGCTATGTGTGGGCTTTAATATTTAACATCAGAACCAGGCTTTGGCAAGATATGCTGGCATAGCCCAAAACCATACTCTCAGTTCTCTGGATTAAAGGAAAAAAAAAAAAACAAAAAAAACACCAAAATCAGAAACTCACGTTAAAATTAGAGTTTACTATGACATGTTTTATACTAACATAATTTTGCAGAAAAAAAAAATAACCACTCCATTTTAAATCATAGTATGCAGCAAGACAATTATCTACTAAACCCCCATGATAAACACAAAGGTAATACTAAATATTTCTGGAACTTAGTGCATCATGTTATTATTAACA